ACATCGCATTGTACCCTGTTTGCATCTGACGTCTGAAATATTATTTGAATTTCGTTATCGTAGGCCTGTGGCTGATTGGGCCAAGAGCTCTCGTGTAAAGCAATTTCTATTTATCAGCAGTGCTGGGATTTACAAGCCAACTGATGAGCCTCCTCATGTTGAAGGGGTAAAATTTAAGCAAATTCTCACATTTATAACTGAAATGGACAAGGTTTTCAGTAACTATAATCTTGATATTACAGGATGTAGTCAAAGCAGATGCTGGCCATGTTGGAGTTGAGAAATATATGTCAGAGATCTTCGAAAATTGGGCAATATTCCGTCCACAATACATGATTGGCTCAGGCAACAACAAAGATTGCGAGGAATGGTTCTTTGACCGTAAGTGCATAATAAGTTAAAATCTTGTTTATTACAGTGTTGAGTTGTACCACGTATATCGAATATGCACTACTTGCGCTGCTTCTGCCTAAGCTCTATGCTGAGGGACATTCATCAATTCATTACAGGTATAGTCCGGGGAAGGCCAGTCCCAATTCCTGGCTCTGGGATGGAGCTAACTAACATTGCTCATGTCCGGGATTTATCATCCATGCTTACTTTGGCTGTTGAAAATCCATCTGCTGCAAGTGGTAACATCTTCAACTGTGTTAGTGATCGTGCTGTGACGTTGAATGGAATGGCGAAACTGTGTGCTCAAGCTGCCGGGCTCCCTGTTGAGATAGTAAATTATGATCCGAAAGCAATTGGAGTCGATGCAAGGAAAGCATTTCCTTTCCGCAACATGGTATGGCTTGACCTGATTTTATCATCATAAACTATATCCTTACGTGGGTTCTCTTCTAATAGGTTAATTTATTAGGTGGAATAGTCTAATGCTCTCGTGATCTCAACATCATTCTCGTGTCTACTCAACATAGGGCTTTGTGTTTGCCCATCTCATCATATCCCACAAATATCATCATGGTTCCCCTCAAGTAAAGATCTGTTTTGTCCATCTTCTTTCGACTAAGAAAATTACTGACTTCTTCAAATTCTATCCCTCCTCGAGCAATGTCTTGTCAAATCTTTATAATTTATCAAATTATGTAAAGACAGTGCTATAACAATATTAGGCCAATTGCACATTTTGTAATTATGACTACTGTACTTCTGCAGCATTTCTATGCTGAGCCACGAGCTGCGAAGGAGATTCTTGGGTGGAGGGGTACGACAAACCTTCCAGAAGACTTGAAGGAGCGATTCGATGAATATGTCAAGATTGGAAGAGACAAGAAAGAAATAAAATTTGAGCTTGATGATAAGATCCTTGAATCCTTGAAAGTACCAGTGGCTGTTTGATTCAAGTTCATGGAAGTAGAAGGCATTTTAGTCTGATATAAAGCTATAGATATTGCAAACAGTTCATCCAATTTTGATTATTCTGATAAAAACAAATACTAATGCCAAATAAGGTGAATCTTCTTATAATCGTCAATTTTGTTAAGTCATCGACAACTTAGTATCATCAATGGACAAAAAAATTGA